GGGACCGCTATAGGCCTACTTACAAACAAAGGGAAATAGCACGGGGAATTTTCTACATGAAAATCTCTGGATTATGTCTACTTCGCACTTAAGCACGCTTCGGCTTTAAGCACGCTTAAGCTTTCTCCCGATGACCGTGCTTAAAGCCGGCATGGACTGTACTTGAATCAATAAACCAGGGGGAAAATATATTTTATGCTTCTCTTGTTAAAGTGTGGTCGTATTGTGGTGGGTTGTAAGGCCCCTTTTTACAGTATAAATGTATCGAAAGGTGCTGGACCTCCAATTTAAAGCATAATTCTGGTACATGTAGTACAGAAAGTGTAGTGTACAGACATTTTTAAAAAAGGACCTTGAAGAGTCTCAATCTCAAGGACTATTCAGCCTACCTACCCAACCTCCCCCGACAAAGTCTTTTTTTTTTTTTTTATATAGGCGTTTTTAAACATCCCTTACAGACACAATTTAGGTCATTTAGAAGGTGAGCTTCCGATTTTGCCAGTCAGGGCTAACCTGGAGTGATAAGGATACAACATCCTAGCAAAAAACGCCGAAATACTCGATAAAAATGTTCCCTACTCAGGTTGCCGATCCCCGTGGTGGGTGGTTGGAGGACGCTACAGGTATAATGTCCCACTTTTTTTTTTACTGTCCTTTTTTGGTTTCTGTTTCTTTGTCTTGCCTTTTTGTAGCTTTGGATGACTGTTAGTGTGTCGATTGCTTCCCTCATTAAAACTCAAAAACACTAAGTCACTTGTTGTTCTGTCTATGGCCAGGATCACCGTGAATACCCTGAACAACCTGCTGGTGATGAACTTCGAGAAGGTCACTTGGGACTACAGTCTGGAGACGGACAAGGTCCCACCCCTGGTGCAGTACGGCTCTTACAGCGACGCCCCCGTCCGGCAACAGCCCTACTCCTACATCCGGGCGCAGCGTATGCGCTTGGCGGGCGCCAGCAACTACAAGATCGTGCACCACGACGAACCGCCGGCAGAAGCCAACACAAAGCTGGTGCTGCCCCAGCACAAGTACCGCGCGCTACAACTCCCACACAGCGCCAAGACGCTCAGCCAGCGCTCGCTGGAGGCCGCAAAACGAGCGCAGAGTGCGAGCTCCCGCCCCGACATCTGCCCGTGGTCGCCAGATATGATGTCAATGAATGACTCACCGCGGCAGGAGGTCAAGTACAGCTCGGCAGACATGCAAGCTTTCCTTGCGCGAAAGAGCTCGCAGCCTCTCCCCCCACAGCAGCAACAGCACTCTACTGGCAAGGGAAAGCAACCGCGGATAAAGTCTGCTCCGTCCCAGTACAGCGTCACCATCAAGGAGCAGCCGGATGAGGAAGAGAGCGAGGTGAACAAAGAGCTCATTCCTCTGGCACGTCGAATCTCTTGGGCGTTTGAGAAGCCTCTGGTGGGCCGGGACAAAGACATCACGCTGTCAGAGATGAAGGCTCTGCTGCGCTCACAGATGCGCATGAAGGTGGAGAGCCAGGTGCCGCCCGACTTCATCTATCTGACCATCAGTACCATACAGAAGTCCATGGCGAGATCAGAGACCAATTACAACACCAAGGCAAACATGCAGGACCTGAAGCCGGCAGCCGTGACCTTGAGGAAGAGGCCCAACTCATCACCCAGTCGCATTGACCCTCGCACTAAGGTGCCCGTGGAGGAGCTGGCCATGGACATGTTCAACTCGGAAGACGGCACAGTGTCTGAGATGTCTGACCACCGGTCTGTGAGGTCACTGAAGACCAAAGAGCAGCCCAAGACACCCTGCGTGCCAGAGAAGGAATGCTTCAGCACACTGTGTGCGGTCACGCCTGTGATTGGTCCCCCACGACAAAGTCTCCATCCCCGTTCTGTCAAGAGCACCGTACCCCCGGGCCGCATCATCCGACCCATCTCCGCGGGACCGCTGGGCACAGAGAGGCTGAATGGACAGCTTAGTCTCTTCCCATCCCGACCAGTCACTGCTCCAGTCAACGCAGCTGTCAAGCTGAGGCCAACCAGTGTAAAATCCATCCCAGCCAGCATTGCACCCAGTCTACCAGGGGCAGGCACCTTCTCCCAGAAGCCCCGCCCACAAGCGCTGGTCAGCTCCGCCTACTCCGAGGCTAGTGCCACGCCTATGCTCATGTACTCGAAAGAGGTTAAGGACAAAGCCAGTGAGCTAAAGGAGCAGCGTAAGAGCCGCCAGCCACCCATGGAGTTAGGAGCTGACGGTCGGCCACTGGGCCGGGTCAGTGCCTACAACCAACCCATGCGGGATCACGCCACATTCGAACTGAGAACCCACCACCAGGAGGAAGAGCATGCAGCACAGATACAGCAAAGCTATGTGGACCAGAAGAAGAAACAAGAACGAGAAAGTGAGAGGAAAAAGAAAGCTGCTTGGATTGCTATGGCGACAGGCAAAGCTAAGGAAGTTGTTAAGCAAGGAAAGTCTGGAAAATGTGTTGATTCTCAGCTGATAGAGTGAAGGTGAGGGAAGAAGGAAATATGACAATGGTGGAATTGAGTGGTTTACTACATTACTACATTATTTAAGTGTGATATAATGAATTTGAGGTTTACTTTATGCACAGTCCAAGATGTTGCTGGAATGGTTCGGTCAATGACCCAATGTTGAATGACTGAATGGTGCTTGGAGCTGTCTGTGTCAACTTAAACTTCAAGAACCACACATAGTCTTTTTGAAGGGAGTTTAAACTCAATAGCTGAATGGCTAAAAAGGGGTCCTTTTTTGTTTAGTAAAAAGAAGTGCATCAAAACAATACCGGCAATTTACTGCAAAGGAAAAAAAACAAGATAAACAGACAGAAACAAAAGAGGGATTGTGGAGAAGCAAGACCTGCTTGTGGCCCGCTCCAACCACCTACACAAATAGCCACCTGTAGTCACATCTTTGCATTTTATAAAAGCATCCCTAGATTCTACATTATAGAATCTATACTGTTACTTGCCTAGTTAGTGAAATCCAATGTTGTGGTACAACACAATTGTGGTACAGGAACTTCACAGGACTTACATTATAATTATGATATTGACTGAGAGAATTGTTGCATTCATCTAAATGTTATGATCTTTGTAAGTTCCAAGAAACTGCTAGTTTTAACAAAATAAACTGTTCAAAACTTTTGTAAAATAATTTCCTGTCATTACTGTCAATTCATTCTATGCCCATATTGATATTGATTACATCCTTTCCCTGTAACTCCTCCTCTTTGTCATGATCATCAAAAGCACTGTGTTACTGTGTACAGAAGCACATTTCCAAAGTGTTTGATGTCCAAAACTATCATAGGCGTAGAAAAAAAAGGTGGCAACTCTGTTTGACCCTACTTTTCATGGTAAGTAAAAAACATTCGAGTAGCATTTTTTTTTCTTGCATTTGTAAATTTACATCACCGTTAATTATATTCAGCAAATAGTCAAGCTACTGATGTTTATGTCATCAGTTCATGTCTGTAGACTTAATATGACATCAAGTACCTTACATCACATCAGTATGCAATTATGCCACAACCAACTGCTATTTCATTGGTTTAGAATTCCGTCTGCCTTTCAGTACTTCTGACTTGTAAAACTGCTGATTTTTATAGAGACTTCACTCTACTTCTTTTCTCAATCAAAAGCATTAATGCCATACCAGTACTTTATTTCTTTTCTCAATCAAAACTTGATTATATTTATAATGGTATTCTATTTCTTCTTCCAATTAAAATGTATACCAGTACTCTATTCCTTCTTTCAAATTTTAAGCAAAATGTGATATAATATATATATACCGGTATATTTTTCCTCCACTCAACCAAAATATGGAATATCAGTAAGTCTACTGATAATCTGCGTTGTGGCAAAAACTGATTAATTTACTCTCTCCCTCTTCCCTAGAGCTTTCAATATTATGTATCTATGACAACATGCAGTAAGGCACCTGAAATTCAGGCACAATTTTCGCAAAACTGACAAGTTACCATAATGCTCTCTCTTTCCCTTTCACCTTCATTAAATGCGGGAGGTATACAAAATGTCATTTTTATTAGCTACTGCTTGATGATGAATGCAAGTGGAAAACCAATATTGTGCAAGAGAGTCAGTGTACGTGTATTTTGCAGTTTGCGTAAGTTCAGTATGGTTGAACGTAAGGTATGCGTGAGTATACGTGTATTTCACTATTTGGGCATACCTTGTGTTTGTACATTTTTGCATGAGACTGAATGTGTGCCTGTGGTCATATGTCCTGTAAGGTAAGCTTGCATCCATGTTATCAGTTTAAGTTTAATCTGTACATGTATATAATATATGCTTGTGTTTGTTTCATTTCACATGTCCCACCTCATGATACTTATTATGTCACTACTCAAACTTATCAGACAAAGCCATTTATATACACATTGTACATTGTATCTTTGCAACTGAGACATGATGCTTTCCCCACCTGCTATAAATGAAGCCACTGCTGTTACATCTGCAAACACCTACACATGGAATCACAAGATATTGAAGGCAAAGAGCCATGATGGGTTATGCATTGTAGATTTATTTTGTAGCCAGCCAGTGCGATATATTACAAATTCATTTTGTAGCCAGCCAGTGCGATATATTACAAATTCAGTCTTGAGATCATCATGTGATATATATGTATTAATTCACAAGAGTTGAAAATGAAAAGCAAATGTGATGTACAATATCTTGTCGCATCCCATCAGATCATCCCAACAATATCTTGTCACATCCCATCAGATCATCCCAACACATTGCCAAATTCTCTTGTTCAACCCATACAGTAGCATAATAAATTTTACTATACTTTCTATTCTGTTGGTTTTGTTTTAGTGTTTGGAACCTTGTGATTGCTTTCAAGACTGATAACTGAAGCCCCATTGAAACCAACGAAGAAGGAGCTATTAATTGGTGCCGGTCCACTTGACAGGTCTACCTGGATAATACGCTCTACCGTTAAGCTCAGTCCTGCATGACTGGACCATGCTCTACCTGACCGTGGCAATCTCCTGTGATAATGCTTTCTACTGAACGGCTTGCACATAATTTAATACCATCAGTATCACACCCACTCCTTGAAACACTATTTTCAAACAAAATCAAGGGGGGTAGCAAAGTGTAAATATAGTGAAACCAAGATTTCTAACATTTTGAAAGTAGTTTAAGACAATTTTCAAGATATAATTTTTTAAAATGATTTACCCACTCTGGTGGTAAAGCTAGGATCCATGCAAGGGATGTAACTTGGTTGATTATTTTGAAGTGTTCTGTAGTGGGTTTTGTCATAGAGCCCATCATGTAAGTTTTCTATATATAGTACGTTTTGTTTGTTTGTTTGAGAAATGAGAAGAACATCGACACAATATAATGGTCACTTAGTGCTGTAAAAAAGTCAAGACAGATGGAAACAACAGAGGGGAAGTAAAGAAGTAGGACCTACCATTAGCGCCCTCCAACCACCCGCTCATATTTTACATGTTCTCCTCATCATTAGTAACGAAAAAAAAGGTTGACCCCAACTAAGATTTTTTTGTAATGCTTATAAGAGGGACATGACTGGGGTCTGTGGTCTACAAGTTTGGCTCTTTGCCATTGCACACAGAGGTGAGTTCGAATCCCCAAAAGGGGAGATTTTTTTATCAAGTTTAGTGCATCCCTCTCAGCCTGCTTTGGCTCAGACAAGATCCAAATTGTGTTGAAGTAGGAGTGAAACATTTATAATTAACAGAACAAAATTGTAAAAATAGAGAGATGTGAAATCAACAGTGGGCAACTTGAGAACCTGCGAACAGACATCAGGAGATCACAGCCTATGGGAGAGGGAAATCAAGATGCCTTGAGATGAAAAAGAAAGACAGCAGCAAAATTTTCTAAATTATATGCAACAACTGAAAAGACAAAGAGAGGTTACAAAGAGCACAATACTGACTCTTTTCTTACACCTTCTGCAATTCAGTTTTCTAGACGAGCATTGAACAAATTAGCAATTACCCCATCACATCAACACAGAACAAAAAACATTGACTAATACAGAACGAACACTATCATCTGATGTGAGGGAAGCAATCTTGAGTAATGAGAGTGTTTGTGTCTAACCCCATACTCAGAGTCTTCAAGGAGGAAGAGGTTCCTCAAACTTGAGAGACAGAAGACACTCAAATGAAGACAACAACAGGGAAAGAAATGGCAGTCCCACTTTGATGACTTTGAAAAATATTATTTTTAATTAAATTTCGGAACCATCTCCAAAAGAATTATAAATCTTCTCCTTTCATTTTTGCATGAGTTATGCCATTTCTTTCCCTACTTTACATTATATCTAAGTGTAGTGTCATGAATCCTCTGAGAGAAATAACAACAAAATTGTTCCCCTGTAGCCTTTGTAAGAGTTAACAAGCAGTATGCATTTTGCATACATCAAGAAGAAAAAATGCTCAATTCAGGTCCATGCCAGCATTCTATATATATAACTTAAAAGTTATTTCTTAAGTACATTTATAATAATAAACAGTGCATAAAAAAGGTAAAAGACCTTATACACTGTAGTGATGCATTTTTATTGTCCTGATGCTCAAAATGATGACATCTCTCTCTCTCTCTCTCTCTCTCTCTCTCTCTCCCTCCCTCCCTCCTATTGGCCTGAGTATCACTTTGTCTGTCCCTGTCTCTATCGCCCTTCCTCTCTAAAACACACAAACACAGATTTCAGACCATACTCATGTGGGTGTGGGACCGACCCAAAGAAAGACACAAAAACAAGAACAAAATATACTGCAATTACTCAAAAACAAAAAACCATTTGAAATAAGAGTCATTCTCTAAAACAATAGAAGAACTTCATCATTCTGTACAGTCGAGGCAGAAATAAACTGAGCAGTAGAATCCTGTGTGATGATAAATTTCCCACAATCTGACCTAGTCCAAAGTCACCCACTTAGCTTAACTCATATCGAATATCCCTCTCCCACCTCCGACTGCGTCTTTCTTTAGCCTTGATTACTTTCTGTGCAGCCTTCCTCACTGAGACCTCCCTCTTGGCAGGCACATGCTCTCTACTGACAGCAGTTTTGTCGTTTGCTTCAAAGTGGGTCACTTTCTGTTTCTTCTTGACTTCCTGGTCGACACCCAAACCTTTCCTGTCATGTTTGAGAAGAGTTCTCACAGGGTATTTATTCCCCTGCCCATGCGGTCCCAGACCCTTGTCATGCTCCCAGCCTGAGCGCAGAAGAATCTGGAATCCCCGATTACTCTGTGGAATCAGATAGGCTGGGCCCGCTGGCTTGTGGCCTGCGTTGAATAGATGGATGGTGGAGGTCCCGTGGGTCACACTCTCAGCTGGTGAGATGGACATCTGGCAGACTTCACAAAAGTAAGGTTCAGACACAGCAGCCTTATTTTGGCCCCGACTCTTAACCGGTGACAAATGAGTATCTTCCCCATGTGGAAATGACGATATGACAGAAGCAACTTCCTCATGTCCAGCAGACCTAGCCAGGTCCTCAGCCGTTCCCCCAGCAGAATGTTGACTCACTGTGTGTGCTCCGAGCCTGAGGCAGAGTCTGACACATTCTAACTGCCCAGCCCTAGCTGCACACATCAAGGGAGACCAGCCGTACATGTCTGTGGCATTAATGTCCAGTCCTGTGTCCACTAACCGGGACAATTCTGCAGTATCCCCTGTCTCAGCACAGTGAAGTAGCTTAAACAATTCCCGGAGCACAATGTCAGAGGAACCAGGTGCAGGGGCACCCTGTGATCCTCCCATACTCACTGCATCTTGTTGCTGCAAATGAGAGGACCTTGCCCTCCGTGACCTCCTTCCTATCGATTTGTCCTTCACTTTATTTTGATGTTTCTTTACAACTGAACTGACTGACAACCTATCTATGCTTCCAGAATCTTCCTTCACCAAAGACTCGTAGAAATTCTTCACTTCCTCTCCTTGAACAGCCTCCAGACACTGTTGCTGCCGACAAGACTTAGACTTCTTATCCTCCTCTCCCGACCGCTGAGGGACAAAGCTGATCAGGTTCCTGTAACTGACCTCCATGTTTTTCCTCTTCCAACTCATACTGACTGCAAGCCTCGAGAGGGGTTGTCTCTACACTTCTTCAAAAAAAAGCAGCTGTAATAAAAGTATAAAACAATGTGTGAGTTGATATTCTGGAGATAGACGACAGAAGACACATACACACACAAAAATGAACACAACTTTCAAACAGAATATGTGATGCGTCGCGACCGTTCGGTCCACTATGTAAATCGAACTGGAGAGCAAAAATTGCCAACAACACTCGTTGGGGCTAAAAAGGAGCAACATTTTTGTTGTTGTTGATTTACTAGACTTTTGAATGATTTTTCTGTTGGAAAATCAATACAAAATCTTTAAAATTTGCTGTTAGATGTGTTTTTAAAGCTATTTTTGGAGAATGTCTTGGTACAGTGATGTAATATTATGTAGCATTTAGTACGAACTATAGAGCATCAGTAAAATAATATCTTTCTAAATTTACCTGACAAACCGCATAGCACTGGTAAGAGGGAATCAAAGCTTCTTAGGCATATTAAGCTATCCAAAATGGTGTCTAGTTACGATCTAGTCAGTGATGCCCTAATAAAGGCCAGAAACTCAAATATTTGTGGGGAAAATTTGCTCTATTCTACAAACTCCACATAAAATTACCTTTTATTGTTATAATAATTTTTGTCTGTCTTCAAACTGTTGTTCAAGTGACGAGACATGCATCACAGCTATCAGTTCAGTTTTGTTTTTGGTTTAGGTTTTTCATCCCTTGCAACACTAAGTAGGTCATTTAACCCTATCCGTACGCCCTAAGGTCATTTTGTACCGCCGGGGTTGTATTCTTCACATTTCATGATATTTCTAGTATGAAGATCTCTTTAGTCTAGTTTTAGTAGAGGTTTTACGGCGCTCGCAACTGCATAAGGTTATTTGAGCGCCAAGGGGTGGATGTCAACAGAGAATTCCTTACAGGGAATCAGACTTACTCTGCTCACCTCTCTAGCTTCAATAGCACAAAGTCTGCTTCGACTATCAAGGCACCCCGGAAATAGTGGGTCACAAGAGTGTGACAAACATACAAAAGAAGTAGAGGAAAAATAACAATAGTAAGGATTAGGAAAGAAAAAGCAGCAGTTCTCTGCTGTAGATCAGGCACAGTTATGAGCGTGACATTGATGAATCAGCCCATTTACAATTCTACAGTGCATGAACGAGAAATGTCCCCCCTTTGGGAATGGCCTAAAGACACTTCAGTCAGTGGCAGTGTCCCGGGGGGTAAGATCTCTTTGAAACTCTCAATATTTCTCAAAAAATCATTTTGACAGACTGCTATTCAAAGCGTTCAGATCAGATTAAAAAGTAAATTTCCTCTTTGGAAAGTGGTGGTACAGAGTTCCCCATGTCGTATTGATACAATAGTAAAACACGACGTACGGATAGGGTTAAGAGATGGGTAAAATCAACTCTGCCTGTCAGGGCCAACCCAGGCTGAGAGGGAGGAATCCCAGCAAAAAAACACAGATGCTCATTCCCACATGGGAATCGAACTAGTCTTCTGCATGATAGGCAAAGAGCTTTATCATAACACCATAGACGCCAGTTCAATCAAGTCAGTGCAAAAGTTTTGAGGCCTTATATTATAAATAAAGTCCAAAACTGTTGTCCTAGATTTTTCGGTTTTTGGTTTTCGCACCTCGCAACACTGTGTAAGGTCATTTAAGAGGTGGACTATTTCGACCCGGCCTGTCAGGGCCAATTTGGGTGGAGAGGGACTTTGGGCTACATATCCTAGTAGAGAGACAAAGATACTCAATAAAAAATTTGCTTCACGTGGCCATTATTTGAACTCCTGCTCTCTGCATGATAGATGAAGAGCCAAACTATAGCACCACAGACGCTGTCCAACTTGTATTTCGGATTTCCTGTACTTAATTTGTGCTTATTATGTCTTTCAACGTCTACTCAAGTATTGACATTTAGAAGCATGAGTAATTACAGCTCTTTGTATTTTAAAGCTCTTCTTTCGTTTTTGTTGTTGTTGTTGTTGTTGTTTTGTTTACGTTCTGGGGCCCTAGAGATAACGTTCTAGAAACAAAACTATTACAGCAAATGATTTGAAAATTGGTGGGTATATTGGCATTGAAACATTGAATGTGTGCCAAATTTCATGAACCTAGCTTTATTAGAAGATGCCTGTTGCTAATGTTATGGAGGCATTTGTCAAATCTTTGATTGCGAATATCACAGAATTTTGCCTCGGACAGTGGCGGAGCATTCCAATACTGAATCGTGCTTCATTTAGTAAAATATTATCGTGTATTCATTTGATCTTGGTGTCATATGATATAGGGGGATTATGTCCTCTTTGCACCTGTACCAAAAACCCAAATTATGAAATTTATGTACCTGGTGGACTAAACCGTCAAGACTCATCACATATAACCACACAACGAGAAACCATCAGCTCCACTGGCAAGGAAAACACATGACCACTGTCCAAGAGATACGAAAGGGTCTCAAGCACAAGAGAAGCCTTTGTTTTGGATAAGGAAGTATGTGCAATATCCCTGGCTCACACCCCGTACTGGTGAAAACAGTCTTCAACATTATTATCTTCTTCCCCTAAAATATATCTGAATAATCTCAAATATGATCGAACGTACAGTGTATGCCAAATAATCTAAGCAGCCTAAATGGCCTAACAAAGATGATTAACAGTTCATGTCAACTGAGTCCTGGCCCAGTCACACTGCATACTTAGTTCAGCTTTTTTTTAAATTGTACGTTTGACCACAAGTCATATCTGAGTAAATGCAGGCTAGTTTACCAATTAGAAAGATAACACACTGAGACAGTTATGACAATAAAATGTTATTTCACAATGACTAACATATTATAACACGTCTCACCAAGAGAAAACAACTTTCTTCCAGCACAGCTAAACCCCAAAGAACTGCCAATTTTTTAATCTTGAGTTACTAAAAGTGAACCTCACATACAATTCATTTGTCAGGTTCAGCTTTCAATCTTGCTTAATTTGAGATTCCTGTGAGAGAAAGCCTTACTGTGTCACTAACATGACAACTTTCCATAAGTATATATTATGGGGGCATCCCATTATACAGGGTGATTAAAAAAGAATATACGCCAAAACTATCACACGATATTTCTAAAACGAAAACCAATTTTTAAAAACTGCTTGGACACATGTATACCTTCAAATTTTTATTTCATGTTTTACAAGTGCTCAATGTGGCCAGCTCCGGCAGCACGGAAAACATCAAGCCGATATGAGGATTCCTCCCAAACGCCCCTCAGGATGTCTGAGTCCACTACACTGATAGTAACTTTTATTATTTGACCTTTCATGTCATTGACATTTGCTGGAAGTAGTGAAACATAAACTTTGTCTTTAAAATACCCCCACAAGAAGTGGCTATCCACTTTACTGCACGTAGATTCAAATGACTTTATTTTTCAAGATGGAGCACCGCCCCATTGGCATCTCAGGGTCTGACCCTATCTGAATGAAAACGTGCCTCGGTGGTGGATTGCTAGGAGAGGTGCTAAAGACCTCACTCCCTGCCAGATCCCAGCACCTCACTGTGTGTGATTTTCTAGATATAAAGACAAAGTTCATGTTCCACCACTTCCTGCAAATATTGATGGTATGAAAGATTTAACCACAGCTACAATCAACACAGTGGCCTGAAACATTCTGATTCTGGGGCACATTTGGGAGGAATTTTCATTCTATTGACTTCATACTGTCTGTGCTGCCTGTGGTGACACACGGAACACTTGTAAAACAATAAAACTTAAAATAAAAACTTGAAGGTAAAAGTTTTTAAAATTGTTTTTTGTTTTTGAAATATCACATGATGATTTTAGCGTATTCTTTTTTAATCACCCTGTATATATATTTTTTCGTAGTACAGCGCAAGACCTAAACTCAACACATCTCTGTCACTGGGAATAAAATTAAGGACAAAGTTGTTTTCCCTCTTTGTTCACCATTTGTCTACAGTGAAGTCCGATTAAACTGAGATCAGAAGGATGGCCCGCTTTTCTTCAGTTTCGAGAGGCTGTTCAACAAATAGATCTAAGTAAACAAATCGGGGATTTTCTTTACTTAAATTGTTTCACCACTGTTTTCAGAGTAACCATGAACATGAAAATCGAAACAAACTCATCTGTACATCCTAATATTGTAATATACTAACCACTCCCCCCCAGCCTACACTGAGAAAAAAAATGACTGCTGTTTATTTTACCTGTGCCGCCCGCCCCACCTGGCGAAACAAAAGCACATGCCCAGATACTACGCATGTATCTGGAACACAGAAGGGAGAAATTTCAAATGATCCATTCCATTCTGTATGATAATTAAACTGTTGAGAGGGAGAGAGACAACTAATTCAGGGAGACCAGGGAAATTATTTGCGATGCGCATGCGCGATTCACCAGCCACCATTTCACACGCGTTCCGGGTTCTTGCATATTTATTTTCTCCTTCTTCAAGGTGCCTACTGCTTAACTGATAGTCCCCCCCTACACCTCCCCCCCCCCCCATGCCATGTTTCCGACTTTTTCCGTTGTAAAAACCTACATCTAGAGATCTATGCTGCGTGGCCTTTCGTGATATATATGTAAAGATATTTTATAAAGCTTAAACTACCGTTCACCGTCGGATGTTCTAATGGCCGAATGGACAGTGCGTCTGCGTTTGAAGTCAAACAATATATATTACTTTATGAGCGTGGAATCAAATTCCCATCCCGGAAGGTCCCCCCTGACTGACCAGCAATTTTTTCCCATAACTATTTGTTATTCCTTTTACTAACTTAGGCCTAGTTAAAGTAAGTTAAATAGTGGCTTTACTTGGTATGTGAATTTCATTTTTTCATTTTTTAAATTTTAGGCACAGAAAGGCCAAATTTTAGCTCTCCAATTGCAATTTTTTTTCAGCTTCTGGGGGCCCTTGGCCTGTACTGTACTCAAATCTGCCGTCGTAAGGGAAAACGACGAATGATCCTGCGCAGGTAGCGAGGCAAATTTTTCAGGAGAGGCAAAAACTATTTTCACTTTATAACTCTTCTATTTTCCACTCTTTTAAGCTGGAATTCACCAGATATCTGATTGAGGTGTTCCTAAAACAGCTTCTAAAGTTTGAATGGTTTAGGTTAAAAAGTAGCAAAGTTATTCGACATTCGTCGTTCTCCCTTACATTGCGCACCCGCAGGTGAGCTTTGCGATGTAAGCGAAAACGACGAATGATACGGTTCGTCGTTCTCCCTTACACTCGTGAACGTTTATGGGCGTAGGCGATGGTCAGTTGCGACGCATTATTGACAGTAATGACTGTACTGGTTACTACAAATATAAATAAGACGTATACAAACTAGCTATTATATGTATAAAGTTAGGTTTTTGTTATAGCCCAATTGTAACTCGGTAAACGTCCTTCGTTTCCCTTCCTCGCTTGGTTAAATACTACACAGTCAGGGTACAAATCAGATGTGCACACCATTTCAACAGCTTGATTTAAAACGGTCTCAGTTTGGTTTCCATGATATCTCTCTATTGTATTCTCTTCAGAAGCGAGTTTTACTTTTATTTTTGCTAATTGCAAAATTTTCCTTGCACGACCAAAGGGATCAACAATGTTACAATGTCAATAATACGATCAGATCATTGCAAAGTCAAACTTTCACGTAAGAAATGTAACAATTTAACAAGACTGTATCATAAACGCTTTCAGGAGAGGTAATACAACGCTTTGTATTTAATAAAGGATTCAGTTGATCGGATCGGAAAACATACCACAAAGTAGACATCGACAAGAACAGTTTGAATCTGCAAGACATTATTATACTCGATCGTAACGTCCATCAAGTCATAAAAAATCGTAAAGCAAGACTAAGTGTCGCCACAATACCTCCACTTTTTAAGTTTGACTAAGAAATTTACTCTCATAACGCAGTGTCATTAATTGCTTGGTAATTCTATAATATAACGATGTCGACCAGTGACACGTGCTAGACAAATTGCGGCACTATAACCATCGTTGGGATTTGGGATGTCAAATGACTGGACAGCAAACTAACATGACGTTAGTCTGTGAACATCTGGCGGACACTAAATATGCAGTGCAAATAAATTTCTCCCTAAATACTTTTTTGACCCTCCCATCCCCACCCCTTTCCCCCTGTTCCCATCCGTTTTCCCCTCTCTCCCGCCTGCTCTTGTCAATTCACACCATCAGCTTAGGCCTAATACGTGAAGACAGACAGAAAGACCCACTAAGAGATACATTTTTATAAACCTGGTCGACGGTACTCCTGGGGAGGGGGTGGTCATGGTGTGTTTGTTTGCTAAAAAGGCCTAGTATGTTTGTACTGTCGCAACAGTGATAAGTTGTCATTCGTCGCCCATGCCGAATTAGCCCAACGGCAGAGACCAGGGGACAACGCCGAAAGAGCAGTGATCCTTGACCGATCGACCATTCGTCGTTCTCCCTTACACTGAGCTCTGGCTCGGAGCTCGCCAGTGTACGGGAAAACGACGAACTCTCAATTGCGCAACAACGGATTAGGATATGATTAACATTTTTACACCATCAGATGCAGAATTAAATACTCTATGAAATATGTAAAAATACGAAAATCCAAAAAATTTGACCATTCGTCGTTTTCCCTTACGACCGCAGAAATGTTCTACCATTTACACGTTCTATTGTCAAATGCCAAAACCAAAGCATCACTTCACTTTTTAAAAAGCTCATTGTTTCCAAAAGATACCTTTTTCGACACTTCTACACAAATTCTGAAAGTAAGATACTTTTAAAGACCAACATGATTCTCTTTACTAAAACGGGCCCAAAAAGAGATCTAGATCTAGATCTCTATATTTTTGATGCGCGGCGAGCGAGAGATATATATCAAGGCAGCTCTTATTGGCCCACATGGGCAAAAAAGCTGGGGCTTATTGGCCCACATGGGCCATTTAATGCCTTGTTTTTCAAAGTATTTCATAAATGGTATTGTCCCAACTTGTTCTCTAACTTCTTAGCTAGCTATTGTTCATCTTTTTATTTTTAGCAATAGATTGGAAAACTATACATTCTCAATTTAAAATATGTGATTGATGGACTAATTTGTTGAGCTATTTCTTAAGATGAGAGGACTTTTCGTTCTTTCTCTAGCTTTAATAGTTTTTTATTATTGAAATTAAATATAAGAAATACGGCTATTATTATTAGCATTCTGCATCCTTAATAACACAAATGAGTTTGTGTTATCTTTTGGGTTCTTGTTGGTTTGGGAGTCATTCAAGATCTAGATCTATACTTCCTTAATATTATAGTAGAAATTGACTTACTTCCGGGTATAAAATATACAACCTAAAATATAATATTAACTTTTATTATTAAAAGTAGAAGCCGTGTATATAATATAAA